CATTTTATACTACGTTTGCCTCAGCAGCGTAATAAACATAACATAACATTATTGGAAAAATTCTGCTCGGGAGCACGCTCCGCCCACCGTAGGCGGAGCTTTGTTGCGCCTAGTCATCCAAAGCAGCGAGTTGTGATTTGTGTACAACGTACCGCCCACATTGGTAATGCTCCGCCCACCGCGGATACTTCTCCTTCGCATTATTTGTTGACCCATTCTTAACCTCTGCCGATTATTTCGTCCTCATCTGAAGCCGAAATAAGTCGTTTTGCCTTTGAGACCACCCACTCTAATGCATGCCCGCCTTTGAAGGCCGAGTTTCGCCGAGCTCATATGTGCTCTGCTGATTTTTTTTTCAAATCCTACCTATACCTACGTAAACATGACCCCTCGTAGTGTTTCTCCAGGTATTAACGAATTTGGTGACGGACAAACAAATAGACAAACAAACAGGCAGAAAATCAAACAAACTAGTACCCTTAGTAAAGATAGTAACACATTTTTTTATTGATTCATTCTACATCTGTTTTTGCTCCTCACACCCACGTTGCACATTTATGAGGCAAGGATGTGGTAAATCTTTCAATGTTACGGTAGACGATGGTTCAGTGAAATTATTCACTAAGAGAAGGGAACGAGAGCGGGCCATTCTCACTGATGTTCGTCTCGAGAATGGCAGACCTTTACAACTATGTATCCCTCGCACCGCCCCATTTAGTGGCAAGGGTTACAGCTAATTTCGTCGACGACTTCATGCGAGCAACGAGAAGGCTCATAGCAAGCGTCTTCTTGTTTGACCATCTAACCAGCTTGTAAGAAGGTGAAGTCATCTTGAAATGGAGGCGGCTCGTTTTAACATGTGGACAGCTTGCTGTAAACCTCTCTGTGTTGGGGTTGGACGGCTTGATTGTGCAATTGCGTCTTGTTGAACATGTGGACAAGATGCTTGGGGCGCAAAAATGAGCTTGGTGGGTGGTGACGACAACTAGTGGCTGATTTCGTAATTTGGGATCGACCTTGTTGCAGAGCAGCTGCATGTTACAGAGGCCACCGTACAGTGTGGGGCCGTTTTAGGCATCTCAAGCACAGATTGAGCTTGGATGCCTAAATTACCCCAGACGCTGAAGCTGCATAATTCTGCAGTGGCCTGAGAAATGCAAGTCGCGTCTCTCTTCGACGGCACAGAAAATGCAGCTGGACTCCGGTGCAATCGTTGCGTTCGTGCACTTTTTTCGAACATCGTGAAACGCTTGCAGACAGTGCAGACGAGGGAGTATGCGCTGTATCGAAAAATGCAGCAGATGAATAGCGCTCATCACGAACGCCAACAAAGGCGTATCGTTCGTGTGCACGACATCGTCAAGGTTTTCCATGGCTCGGCAGTTGAGATTGGGCTTTTGACAGTGAGTAATCGTTACAGTGCCCTTTTATGAACCAAACCACGTTCTTTATCAATTTGAGTTGACCAGTGACCCCTATGCAAATACCTGGAAGTATCGAGTAGACTAGTATGAAAGTGCAAATACCTGGAAGTATCCATATCATATCACTTGCAACTTGGTTGGTTGAGTGATATGCCAACAAAAAGTGGGGCCGCCTGATGGATTGAAGGCACAGTAGTTCACGATAATTTTGGGGTATCTAAGTTCAGACGAGTAATAAAAGTAACAATTCAGGGTGCAAAGGTGGCGAATAAGATGCGGGCATCGGCTTATTCAGAGAAATGAAAGGCTTTGAAAAGGTAGCATATCAGGGGCTGGACGAGGATGTGGCGACAAAAGTAGCGAGTATTAGGACGACCTGTCCACACGAGGGTGCAGTTGCCTAAAATAAAGCTGGCTACAGTGAGCTGCCTGCGTGCAACATGTAGGTCCCGGTGCGAGCGGTGCGACCTCTACAGCTTTTGCAACGCCGTGAGGACTCGTCCGCCTCGCTTGTACGTCGGCAAAGCCGATTTCTAGGCCCTCATTAGTCCTATCTGCGCCGTTTTGCTATCTGACAGTGTCCCTTGTGGTATTCTTGGGGATCACAGGTCCATCTCAGAGGGAAATGTCAGGAACCATTTTTGCCTTTGAGATATTTCAATGGGATAAGAGGTTGCATCAGTGATGCCTAATGGTTTGTAAAGTTATGCGGTATTGATCAACTCGAAGTGTGATGAAATACTACGAGCAAGATAATTTTTTGCTTTCCGTCTCTTTTTTGTTTTTCTTTTGCTTTCCGTGCCTTTTTTCGCTTTGACATGGAATTATTGAGTGATGATGGTCATCATGAAGGTATTTTCGCTGAATATGTATCGTCATTGCGTAGAATTTGATCCTATGTTCCAGCTACGACCGACAACATACTTAATGCAGTTTTTAGTAAAAGAATGATGACCAGTAGGCTAATCGAAAATGTTCCGCTGCTGAGGCTAGTGTTGGAACGGGAGTTGCTAATATACATTCCAATGATGTCTACTGAACTTTATCAGAGGTTCTATACCAGAGAGGTTATTATCTAAGAACCACTGATGACGGAGGGGCAGAGTGTCTGTACTGTGTTCACATTCGGAATTATCATATATTGGGTTGAGTCATAATTATCGGGCAAATTGACAATGATTATATTTATCTTACAATTTTAAACGACAATCGCGAGTCATTTGAAATATGCCCCATTGGCATCGATGGTCTTCTCCCAACGCATGCGCAGATCGTAGATGCCCTTGCTCCGGAACGCTGAGGGCTCTCCCCTGAAGAACTCCATTAGTTTAGTTTTAATCGTTCTTGGAATGTGCGATCGAGCTTTGTCGTGCTGGAAGTAAACTTTGTGCTGCTGTGGATGCGTAGATTCGAGATTCGCCTTCAAATTCCTCGGTTGCTTAATGTAGACGTCTGCAGTCACTGTACATCTTTCGTCTAACAGTTCCCAGTATTCGACACCAAGAACGCTCCACCAGATGCAGAGCATAGCCTTCTTGGCGTGTACGTTGGGTTTGGAAAAGTCATCTACATCTACATACAGCTTTGTCAACCCATTGAGCACGCCGGTTAACGTTAGAGTAGGGAATCTACTTCCCATCATCGGTGACTAGGTGCTCGAGCCACGGTGGGTGCGCTTGAGCGTGAGGAGAGAAAGTGCCATGTCGGCGCTGCGGTCCATGTCATACTGTTTCAAAGCATGCGACACCCATCGACCGGGCTTTCGCACTTGCCGACTGACTTCAATCCACGAACAACCGTGGACTGACTCACCTCAAGAGTGGCTGCCAGTTCACGAGTAGTTTTATACGGATCGGCTTCCACCTGGCTCCGCAGCACGTCCAAATCCAACTCGGGCGTCCCTTACGGTCTTAATCTTCGATGCAATAGTCGCCCGACGCGAACTTCGAGTGCCACCTGTGAATTGTGTTTCTAGCAGGGGCGTCCTTTTGTAAACTTCCTTCATACGTCTATCGATTGCCGTGGGTTCTTGGCCAGATCGAAGAAGAAATAGGATGATGTTGCGGAGGTAGAGTTGCGACGGCGTGAAATCATGGGGCACGGTTGCGGGGAAGGAAACATTTAGGTGTGTTCGTTAGTATGTATTTGCAAGAGCTTTTTATACTCTATCTAACGATGCCTAGCTCGTCCATTTTCGTTAGCTCTTTTCCAAGTTATAATCTCTAAAATTCATCACTATCACATTTTCCGAGGACCTGTGACTCAACCTAATATTTTCGGATCCAGTTGTTTTTCCCGACTCTTCCCACGAAAAGGAAAATTCCTGAGAATCATAAATGGCTGTTGATACTCTGGGGCGGATGTGCAAGTAAGTGAAAAGCCAGCACTTGAGGACAGTTATGGTATTCTACAGCATTCAGCGTTGTAACTTTTATGTCGCAGTTGAGGTGTTTTGCTTGTGCCGTCGGTTCTTCTGCTATTTTCGACGCAATTCTTGGAATGATTTCTCCCTCAGATATGTCAATTATATGTCAATACTCCCTATTATCAATCTTGCCCTGCGGTGTTTCTAGAGATATTTTGGTCTTTTCTCTCTGCCATATGTGGTGCAAGTAGACGAATTAGGACATCCACATTTTCGAGGAGAGTGCTCACAATTGCATCTCATTCTAAGCCCTTTGTGATGTTTACGCTTGTTTTTGATTACTCCACTCTGCAGAATTTGCGAAACGCCGGTGGAGCAAGGTTCCGTTGTTTGAGATGGCGCATCATTTGTTTGCTATTGCACTCGCTAGTTTACGCAGAGAAATCGTTGTGGCGTTGACTTTTTCTATGTCACGGGTAGCGTATGGTTCCATAGATCTACTGAACGCCTATTTTCGGCCAAGTCACACGGATTTGTAAATAGTGTTGCCGGAGTTTGTTGTGGGAAACACAAAATGGGTTGCATTAAGTCTATGGATTCCCATCAATTTTATCTCTTACTTATTTGTTAGGTTCGAACACCTGTGACGAACATGGCTCGCACTTCCTTTTTTCATATAAAAAGAGGAAACGTCTGGATTTGCGCTGTGACTCGCCAGAACGTGAACGCCACAATGGTGTTTGAGGTGGGTTGTGAGATAACAAATCACTCCATTGCGCATGGATAGCCATAGTTTATGGCTCATTATTGGTAGCAGTATGCAATTTTTAACAGACTTTTTGATTGAACTTTGGCTTATACTGCATGGTTTTTCCTAATCGCAGTCTGTTCGATAGGATTTCAATTTCGCAGTTATAAAATGATTTCATGGTAACACCTCCATGTTGGGAACCTAGAAAATTTGTTGTTGAAGTCGTTTTCAAAATGGAAGAAAATCCGCAGGCGGTGGTGTCTTTTCATCTCCTCTTTTCCTTTCATCTCCATCTCATCTTTTCAGTTTGTCAACAAATTTGCTGATGCGATGCAGTCGTATTTTGGCAAGTTGAACGAGGAGAACGTCAAAAATAACTTCGTGTTAATCTACGAGCTGTTAGATGGTTAGTTTGCCATGCCTTCTATTTCTTTTGATTCTTTGGATCAACACTGAATATATTTAAATTTCATGAGGGTGAAAATGCTGAAATGATTGTCTGATGTCGTATTCTCGAGTCTCCAAGTGCTCAGAGTTTCACTGACGTTGATCCAATAATTCAAGTCCTCGTGAGCAGTCGCCAGTACGGAGAACCATAAAAATAGCTTTGCGAGTCATGAGCACTTATGACTTTGCTCACTCAAACCTAGCCCAAGTTCCTGTTCATTTGATTGACTATCCATTATTAGGCGCCCTAGCATTTAGTTGACATTGAGAAGGTTCCCAAACGTGTCAAGCTGTTGATGAGTCTTGAGATTTTCGGATGCACGTGAAACCTTCCATGATCTTTTTCATCCTCTTGCTCACCAAACTAAATAGTCGACATGTTATCTATGATATACAGTCACAAGTATTATGCCAGCTGTTCTCCCTTTCTAAAAAGTGGACTGTAAACTAAAGAAATAGCCACAGCATTTTTAAGAATACCGGAATTGGCGAACCTCTTGTTGGCCAGGAACTGCATCAAGTAGCTAAAAAGATGATAGTCAGAAGAGACGGCGTTAGAGGATTAGAGACGGTGAGATACTGCATCTCACAATCAGTCAATTTCCTGTAGCCTGAACTGCATTGTCCTTGTGACGTGTATAGAGGGCAGTCATGCAGAACGTGGACGGAAATACTTCTTGTTTTTCTTTGATTGCATGAGCGAGTTTCTGGAGCTGACTGCTGTGAATTGTGGCCGTTGCTGTCTAACCTTGGAGAGCAACACTCGCGGCATAGCATTCACTTCAGTCCCTAAGAGCAGCGCACAGAAGCCTTCCTCTGGCGGTGTTCTGACTCGGGCTGCACGAGCGTATCCTCTCTCTTTTAGGGAGAACTGAGGGAACAGAAAAGAGAACAGTGAGGGGAAGCGATTGGCTGGTTGAAACCGCGTGTAACGGACATCACTGAACAGTTGAGGAATCATAGAGCGAGACTTTCCCATAATCGTGTTCGTGAAGATGTCGAACAACGTTGCTCTGTTCAAAGAGCTGCCAATTTCGTGTTCGCAGCTTTAGGCCTTTTTTTATTTCGCTGAGAACTCGGCCATTACCGACAGCAGCTTGTTCTCGGCACGGACCAGAATTTCGTCGGGCGTTGTATTTTCTGAATGAAAGCGAGCAAGTCAACGACATGGCTGGCGATGCCCCTCCGAATGCAGTGTTGATGTTGGAATGTCACCGGAATGAGCGTTGAAGCTGAGGCGTCTATCGTAGAAAGTACTTATTGCTCGCAGTTAAACCAATGATCGCGACATAGTTCACAAGGGACGCCCTGAGAAACCTACTCGACCATCACTGATAGTAACTCGGAGATTGTTCTACAATGTGGTGATGGTTCGAGGGCGAGGGAGGCAGAGGTTCTTATAAAAAAATGACGGCACATGTAAACTTTGCCTCAAGACTTTCGCATCATTCCAATAGATGAGGTTGTTGCAAAACTTGAATGAGCCCGAACTCTACTATTGTCCAATATTAAAAACACAAATGACGAGTTTTATACAATAGAATCCATCAACTTCAGCAACCTTGCGCAGAGTCCTTTTTTTTGAAGTGAGAAGTTTTGGAGTTTTCGTCATCTAAACATCCTTGAGGGTCGGAGAGTAGGTTTAACTGTGGTTCCGATCTTCATCCCTTACAATATTCTATCTCTTCTTGTCACGCTAAAAGTGCACGTTGACTTGCTGTTTGGGTGTTTTTGTGAGGTGGTCGTTCATTCAGTTCGGAATACGAGAAATGTAGGAGGCTTGCCGTTTTCTCCTGCAGTATCCTCAAACTTTCTCCCCTACATCCGCTTCATCTACTTCGTCTGCTGTTTGAGAGCGGCTATGGATGATAGAGCGTGTATTTCCTACCCCCTGCTGATGGCAGTAATGTCAAACTTCTTGTATGCGCACTCACTCTTGGCCAAGTTTTTGAACTCTACCTATTTGCTCCAGTGTGCTAAAGTTAGGCCGACAGTTCACTAGTGGTTTAATTCGAATCTGCCTTACATTATACAGTAACATGCTAACATTTCGTTCCCTTCAATGGTACTACCATCTTTCTTGAACAAGTATCTGCTGGCCCAACGTTATTACCACATCTGCTGGTCCAATATTATTACGTGGATTGTGCTGCTTAGGTAACTCACAGTAGGGCACTATTTGCCCTTTACTGCCCCACTTTGTCGAGAACGGGCTGAATTTCTATCAGATTTTTTTCAAGTAGATGAAATCGACTAGAAACTTGCCTAGAGGGGAACTTTGACCCGTAGAATACGAATATCGCATCCGTTCGTCATGAAAATGCCTTAGAGGCAAGTTTTCAGCAAAATTGATGACCCAGCTCCATTTAGCGCCGGCACCTGTGGCGCGAGCCCTAGGCATCTTTATAACGAGTGGGTGCGATATCCGTGTTCTACGGGTCAAATTACCTCTCTAGACAAGTTCCTAGTCGGTATCATCTTCTTGGCAAAATTCAATGGAAATCCGGCCCATTATCGACAGAGTGGGGCAGCAAAGGGTAAATAGTGTCCTCAATTGTTGTTCGTTCCGTGAGAACGCCTTTCCCGAAATTGCTAGAGTTTTTGAAATTCTTAAGGCGCTTTTTTTGCAAAATGAATAAAACCTTCCGGACGGTTTCACTTTTACACTGCATCGGGGCGAACGGTTCGTCTCTGGTTTCAAAAGTTTGGAGATGGAGACGAAACACTGGGAGGCAAAGAGCGAACTGGTCGACAATCGTTAGTTGATCTCAGTACTTTGCTAGGAGCAGTCGAAGTAGATCGACGTCAACCTTTGAGAGATTGAAAGGTATATGGGTGTTTCCACTACAGTCGTCGCTGACCACCTCAAGCAGCTTGGAAAGGTAAAGGAACTTGAAAATGCAGCCATCACTGGTGGATGGCCATAAATTGTATTCTATAAGATGAGCGAGTTGCGGATCGAAGCTCTCCCACATCGCTACACACCAGACCTGTCACCAACCGACTTCCATTTATTCAACATTTGGACATTTTTTTAGAGGCTCGAGTATTCAGAGATCAAGGCGACGTGCAACTGCCTTCCTCGAAATCTTAAGATCCTAATCATCGAGTTTTTATATGAACGGAATTAAAAAACATGTATGTACATGTAACATGTGCTTTACGTCCTGGCGCTCCTTATCTTTACACCACCAGACCCCGTTTTCTTTTAATTTTGCTCAAATTAATCAGATACCAATTTCCTTCTTGTTTATCCTAGGAAGCGTTTCTTGTACACCGAATACAGTAATTTCTGGCAGTGTTGGTGAAAGTTTTTCTATGACGGATTAAGTAGGTTGGATTTCTTCGCATCAAGCGTCAAAACTGACATTCAAGATGAACATTCCGTCATACTCGTCGGTATCAAAAGCATCCTGGCTTAAGATGGATCGATGCTTCGGTGAGGAATCTGTTTTCCAAATTATGCGTCGAATGTTCGAACGTATTCACCAATGCTCCAGTTTCATGCCGTGCAGAAAGCAGATTAAAGTGAAGCAGTGTTCAACAAGTCACTAACGGAAATTCTGTGCGGCAACCTTGCTCATGCCATTGTTCTACTTTACCATGAAAAAACGCAATGGCATGACCCTACCTGTGAATGCCTGTGAATGCAAAGTCCAAGCCGGTTACCCATTTGTAGCGCTGGAATAAGACCTCGGGCAAAGGCACGGATAAGTAGGTGAGGTAGCCGCCTGGTAGTGTAGCATCGTGATCAAGCGTTTGAGCCAAAAACCCCAGCTGAATTACTGTAAAAACCTCGTCGCTGCAGAATTTCCGTTTCCATGAGTAACTGCGGTGTCGGATTTTTGGGATTGATGTTATTTGGTTCATATAGGTTCAGAGCCACACGGCTCCTCCTTTCCTTTACTGCGACCCCCTGTCTAAGATTAGTCGAGAATGGTCATATTTTTGTCGATTGATTACGCTTTTTGATTAACCAAACAATGAATTTTTTCTCCGAGTTTTTGTTAGAGCTGTTAGCAGGAATGCGTTCGATGAGATAATTGGCCATTAGTCTACTCATCGCAATGAGCAGATACCCTGGGAGATTAGACAAAATGGTGTGTTGTCTAGGAAAATATCTTATATCCGAAAGTGACATCTGCAGAAATTCAAGAAAAATCTAGCCATCCACTCGAGAGCCCACCACTTAGAGCTTTTAGCATAGAGAGTCATATCAACGTATTATCGAGTTCGACAGTGTTTTCACATTGAATCAACCTGTCGCTACTTGTCCTTGTGGAAAATAACAAGGAAAGATGTTCTATTATGCCTTGGGTTCGTGCCGCCGGATATGTGAGGCTTGCACCAGACAACGTACACATCGAAAAACTCAACAAAATTACGATTGTTTAAGCTAAAGTAGAGGCTATCAATAAGTTCCTGATCAACTCGGTGTCAAGCATCGGCGATTGCTTTCTTCATCTTCCTGGTGCCTCCAAATAGCTTGTTTCTTGTACTGTGTGGGACCCTCAATACAAATTTTGACAGAATGGCACCCTTGAGTTTTATGGGGATTTAAAGTTGTTCACAGGATACGCTCCTGCATGGTTAGGTTTACTGGGGTGTGGTGCAGTAGGATTGAAACTGCCGCGTCGCGGTGAGGGGGACGCCGCGCGCGAAAGAATGTACCAGAATGCAGCAGCAGTTAAGAAATACACTAAAAAAAAGAACTACCATTGAATCATGCCCGTAGTAATGATCGCACATCGATTGAGCCGTATGAAGAACGCTAGAGCTGTAATGATGGCTAAGCGAATGGTCCGCGACGGCCGCATGCGGCGAATCGATTACACAAAACCGATCCTATTGCCCGTTTTCCGGTTTACTGTAATGGTCTTCCAAAATGCGTTCAGGGACTGATACACTAAATTTATGACGGCTGCACTTTTTGAAGCGTCTGAACACCTTTCCATATGAGCGTA